GAAACATGTTGGTTACTAGAAGCCAGCTTGGGTGTGTTAAAAATAAATCATCCCAGACAAATCTTACTGCTTTTTTAGCCAAATGATTAGATTAGTAGACCAAGGGAATGCTGTGGATGCAATATACCTAGACCTCAGTATGGCATATGAAAAAGTTAACTATACCTTCTCTTTTGATAAAACAGTGTAGGATGGATAAGTATAGGATGTAGCAGATGGTTATTTGGACTTCAATATACAGATGGTTATTTTACTGTAACTAAAAAGCACCAAACTAGTTTCCCCACCCCCCATAGAATACTTTATTGTATTGATTCTATACAGAGTTGAGACAAAAGGCACATTAAAAAAAAATCAATAGGACTTTAAAAACTTAACTGGCTGGGGTTAGATGCAAAGTTAGCTACATCTTAAAGCTACATCTTAAATATAGTTTCACTGATATTTTAGCTAACTACCAAAAATAGCCAGTCATGAGAACAGTCAATTCATGAGCTGTGTAATGCTGAAAGAGCAAGAACTAATGAAATCATTACTTGATGATCAACAAAATCACAATTTATGAATTTTGATTCCAAGATATGCAGAGTTACTATAGCTAAATTCATAATATAAGTGATTCCAGGAAGAGCTAGTTAAAAGTATTTTGCTTCCTGAGGCAAAAGATAAGAGGAGGCCTTCTCCCCATTTGTACAAATTAGCTAGCTTTATCACAGATGAGTAATCCTCTATTGCACCTAAAACAGCAGGTTAGGTTAGGGAGTCCTGAGGAGATTCTGTGATATACACAACTTTGCTTCCCCACCCTGAACAGTTTTAGAGATAATGATCTTCTACTCAGTATCTGTCACTTCACATTCTTTGCTCATGCTGTCTACATAGGGCTGGTCCTGATTACAAATGTAGATATGTAGCATATGTAATCCCTGAGCAAAAAAATTAATCAGATAAATAGTAAACATGTGGCGGTGGTGTGGGCTGTTATGGGTGCTAGTTGCTTGACAGATGTGACTCCTCTGTTCTGCAAGCTGCATTGGCTGCCAGTATGCTTCCAGGCACAATTCAAGATGCTGGTGGTTACCTTTAAAGCCCTTCATGGCTTGGTGCTGGGTTACTTATGGGGCCATCTCTCCCCAGTGGTATCTACCTATCCTGTTAGATCCAACAAGAAAGGCATGCTCCAAGTCCTATCCACAAGAGAATGTCATCTAGCAGGATCCAGTAGGAGGGCTTTTTCTGCCATGGTGCTCACTCTGGAATATCATCCCCCTGAGATCAGACTTGCCCCAAACCTGCTGGCCTTTCACAAGACATTAAAAACTTGGCTTTAACATCAAGCCAGGGGCCCTGGTAGTGTGGGTTAGCCAGTTGTCTTGTTATATTAATTGTGCAATGTTTGATTATTCTTGGCTGTTCTTTTATGCTGTCTTATGTTATTTACGTTTTTAACCCCTAGTTGTCTTTATTTTGTCCCTATTTTGTTTTGTTAGCCACCTAGAATCATGTATATGAGATGGGCAGCCATATAAATTTATTAAATAAGTAAGTAAGTAAGTAAGTAAGTAGAATAAGATATGCACAACTTCACTAGAAGAGAGAGACTTGCCTTGTAAAGTGCCAACTCCATTCACAACATTGGGATGAGACATACTGCAGGTCTGCAAAATACGGCTTTGAGAGAGGCTTGCTGCCAGCATATCTGGAGCTGTAGGCTTGAGGCCTATTAGAGAAGGGCGGGGGGGAGAGGAGACTGCAAGAATAGCAATTGATAGATGAAGAATTTCACCTTAGTCCTAGCCCATGGTAGAATTAATAAATAAGAAACATTCCTGCAACTTTTTTTTTTAAATGTATTATATTGTATCCATCTAGTGCATTTGTCAGTCTGAAACCCCCTAGAAATTTAACATAGTACTTCAGGCATATTTCAGTTTAAAATACCCTCTCTTATTCTGTAGGTAAATTTAGAAAAGTGAGGTGTAGAGAGAGAATTAGGTGCCACTGAGTCAGGCTAAATTCTCCATCACTGTGTGACAAATGCTTGCCATCTTGACTTATCTCCAGCAAATGTGCTTTCTTTCTTCTTTTTCCTATCTCCACCCAAAACCACATAGGTGGAGTTTACCATACACGTACCAGAGTTGTATGACTACAATTCCCATTTATGTTACCCACTAGTCCATATTTGGAATGACTTCACCTTTACCTTCACCCTTCATAAGCATATTCTTGACATTCCTGTAACTGTCATATGGGGCCTGGAAATAAGGAATAGATGTTTTCTGTACAGAAAGAGAACATATTGTGCTCTTCCAAGAACAATCCTGTATTTCTTTCATCTCGGCCACCCAGATAATGCATTTTCTTCCCCTTCCTCTACTACCCTCAATCCTGCAAACAACAGTTATTTTTACTAGTCTATGATATGGTTATTTTGCATATGAGAGACACTTGTCACCATGATGTTCCAGCAATGAGCTGGTATGCTATTGGGTACATGTTTAAAATACTCTTTGCAACTTAAGCACAATCATGCCCAATGCTTAGGGGGTCATTTACGCCATGAAAAGTGATTCTGGTACTTGCACAGTTGGGGAATACGGGAGTGCAGGTGGCAGAACCACTTCCCAAACTCTCTGCCTACCCTTCTTCAAGTAGGGAAGTCAGGTGGCAGACCAGTTTTCCAACATGTGCAGCCTGCACCTGCACTTTTGTGTGAAATGGTGAGAAGACCTATTTCCCCTTCTTCTCCCCCACACTTCAGTGGCCATCCATATCAAGAGAAGGTTGGCTGGTTTTCTTCTCCCCACTTCTCTTGCCATGGGCAGCAGGAAAAATGAGGGTGGAGAAGTAGGGAGGGGAGAGAAGCACCAGAAAATGGCTTCTTTGGTGCCAGGTTTCCAATCCACACAGAGGAATGGAGAACTGACAGCAAAAGACAGATTGATCTTCTGCTCTGAGTAACTGTCAACAAATGAAGCACTCCCCATTCCACCCATCTACTCCCCTGGGGCTCTTAGTATGGACAGTATTCCTATTCTTCTTCTCTCAGGAGGCAGAATAGGATTCCAAAGTGCAGTTAGCACATCTGAGATAGCATATTTTGTGCCAGTTGGTACAATTGATAACATCACTTTTGTGCTGCAGTGAGGAAGAACTTATACTTTCTTAATTTTATAAATTTATCCTATATATTTGATACTAATAAGTCATTATCTTTTCCATAATCTGCATCTGAAAGTATTGGGACTGACTGGATTGAATATCTGGATATGTCCATAGGTAAGGTCTATCTATATTCATGATGCTTGACATAGATGTTGACAATAATCTCATCCAAATCTTTCTATAATTTCCTATTCCTACATTTCTACAGCTTTTGCATTCCAATCACCTATTAGTAATATGTGTTTTTCTGGTTTTATTTAGCACCTCTTCCAGTTTTCCACTGAATTCTTCAAAGCCTTCTGCCACTGTGTCTGTACTAGGTGAATATACCCATGCATAACATTCATATTCACTGAATATTCAATAATTCTAATATACATGATCCTACCATTTATTGAGCTAAAGCCAAGTACTTACTAATGGTCATTTTGAATATCATTGCCATCCCATATGTTCATATGGTCTCATGCATACCTTGAAGCATGGAATCATGATGAAATGTTATCAAGTAATCATTAGATATTTTTTTTTAAATGCCCATTCTTATCCATCCAAATTGGCTTATTCCTAAAACTTTCAGTTCAGTATGCTTAATTTATGCTCTGATCATTTTAATTTTTCTTGAGTCATTTTGCTCACATTCCAAGTTCCAATTGAATGTGTTCTTTTAAGAACTCATTTTTCAATACTGATGCCATTAATGACCAGGATTCCTTTCAACACTAGTTTGGCCACATTATCACCTCCAGATCTAACTCTCTTCTTCTGGGTTTAATTTTGCAGTTCCTTCTTCTAAGGTTGTTGAAGTCTCTTATACCTGGGACATATTTCCTCCCTCTTCTCCACTGTGGATTCTTCTTAGTTTCTTAGATTTTACTGGCTAACCTGACCCTACCAGAAGTTCCTTCTCCCACTGGCATTGTTCTCAGTGTCACTGAAGTTACTAAACAGTCCTACTACATCAAGATAACTCCCAGTCTGAGACCAATAAAATTCACACATTCTATTTACTATTTTGTATCAAACAGCATGATTAGAGGTTTGCCAAAATCTGGTTCAAATTCTTGCTCAGCAGTGAGCAGGAATTTAATGAGCAGGGTAATAGTGATCTGAGTCCTGCTATAGAGTCCCCCCTTCTTCACTGGCTGTTGTGGATAAAATGGGAAGAAAAACAGCTTTAATCAGTAAAAAAGTGGAATATAGATCAAATCAAACCATCCAACTATCAGTAACCATGATGCTTTCAGACGCTTGGAGAAATATGTGGCATAAATGTAATATATTTACTTTCTTTACCTTTACTTTCTTTCTGCTAGTCATGGAGAGATGTAAAAAGCTCTAGTGAGGAACTGAAGACCCAGATTCTGATTACCAGGAACATAATTCAGCTAGTGCACTGACATTTCTTTTCTTATCTACATATTTATTTTAACTTTAGCTACAGCTGGAAGCATTTTTTTTTTAATGGATGCCAAGATTCTTTTTAGGAAGCTTAATTATTTTTCCACATGGAGAATTGCCATGATATGCAGAGTAGCTGAATAATCAGAAGAACTATGAACCATTCTGTAAAGGTCTACATCAGTATTTTTCAACCTTGGCAATTTTAAGATATGTGCATTTCAGTGCTGGCTGGGGAATTCTCAGTTGAAGTCCACACATCTTAGTTGCCAAGGTTGAAAAAACACTGGTCTATACAGTGTTCTAAATGCAACAGGTAAGCCATAGCTTAAATGAGTAATCTCTTGGAATAGTCTTTATTATTCCACACAGATCCAAAATGTAACAGATTTATTTGCTACGGTATGTATGCTTCAGAAAGTATTTCTTACCTGCCATCATCCCATATGCGGTTTGCTGGTTTCCATAATGGCAAGAAGGAACGGAATAATGAAGACCTGATGGCATATTTCCCATAGTTGGCATGGAAAAGCATGTATGGGCACATTTAAGGGGGGTTGGGTTCAAAGACAAACAGATGAGACCAGTAAGAATATATTCATTGATTCATAAAATATTATCTCTATCAAAATATATGAAAATTAGATATTGGATCTGTCATGAGTCTGAACTCTACTCACTGAACATCTTAAGAATATGATATTGTTTGATTTGTACATGCAGCAATTCAGTCATCCAATTTAATGACTACAGACCCAGTTTTCATTTCAATTACATTTGCTCTGCCCAGTTAAAGTTGTAGGCTAGGACATGGAATAAGTTGAAACTGGACAGATGGTGAAACAATGAAAGTAACATTTACCACATGTTGAATTATGTACATTTCCATTAATGTCATATATTTAGATATCAATTTAGGGAACTGGTTTCCACATGACTTATACCAAAAAAAAAAAAGTTATAATCTAAACAATAAATGTAACATTGTTGGCTGCACAGTCAGCCAGATATTTAGACTGGATTTGGCTTTGGCATTTTTATAGTAGTAGTAGTAGTAGTAGTAGTAGTAGTAGTACTGAGTTGCTGGGAGTCAGCCGGCATATAAATTTAATAAATTATTATTATAATTATTACTATTATTATTCAGCACATTGTAAACATTTTAAAAAATAATCAGTTACTTTTCAAATATGTAACATAAAATAAGTATTTTACTATATGACAAAGATCAATACCATGACAGCTGTATTTAGTTCTCTGTGATGAACTTTTGGTCACAGTAATTTGCTTTAAATCATACTCCTCTAAGATTAAATTTAAATTATGTTATTATTTTATCTGTAAAACACTTTGAAAGAATGATTTACTCTAAAATACAATGAAGATAAAATCACTGAAAGTATGCATCTGCATATAGAAAAATGATTGGAATCAACTGACTAATTGCCCATAGCCTCTTTGACTTGAAGATCCTTTTTGCAAATAGGATAATAAGTATACCTGCATGGAAACATCTGAGCAATCTGTATCCTACAAAACTGGAAGGTTTTGATTACATGTTTCAGTCTAAATATATTGTTTTCAGTATAAATGGCACCTTGAAAATGTAAAGATTAGGAATGGTCATGATGAGTATAACTCTATTCTTTCTTTAACATATGTCAATTGTATAATGAATGACAAGTTGTTTGATTATTCCAGACTTGATCTTGCAGGTAACCACAGCCAGTTCCTGCTAGTTTTCCCTCCACTTCTTCTACTACTACATATTGAAATGCTGAGCAAAAGCAATACCAGGAATCATTCAAGATTATGCATTGAAGCATAATAATAGGGCAAGTTTAAGACAGGACAGTACTGTGATCTATAACAAATTAAGCATATAATATAAAACAAAATAAATAAAAAATATATTATGGGCTGTGTTAAGAATTAATTGGGCTAATGTCTTCCTGAATACATCAATCATCCTTTTTTATTCATTACATCTTATTTTAAACCAACATTCTTAGTTAAAATCATTTGTGCAAATTTGCAAACAGATATGTTCAGTTTAAGGGCTGATCCTATCCTGGGAACTTCAAAAAGTAAAATTATTAAAGAATATTTGTATCTACAATCCAAATATACACTGCACTATTCAAAAAGAATGCATATGATAATTAACAAATCACCAACTGAAAATAAACAATTCTATGGTAGGCTACTCTTGATTTCAATTATTACATATATGAAGCAGGTTTTAAATAATTAAAACAGAATAAATTATACTCCTGGAAGAGCTCAGTAAATCAAAATATCCATGCAATGCTTTACTTGCTTCTTTATTTCTTTTGATTTCAAAATGAGTTTTCTGCTGTAACTACAAACCAGAACTTAATGTTTAAAAGGTATAATATAAGGGGTCTTCCAGTGAGTGCTATGGCAAACTGATGTTCCTGGAAGAGAGGGACAACATTTCGGCTGAAAACAGCATCTGGATGCTGGATCCAGACCACTGAAATCTCTCCAGAGAAAGGAGAGATCTCAATATTACACAGATGTACCCTGGAAAGCTGTTTTTTTTTGTGTGAGTTGACAAGAACCTATGTTTTTGTCAACTCACAAATGGCTGGGAGTTGCGGGATTCCATTGAGCTTAGAGCTGTTAATGTAGCCTATAAGGACTCAAGGTTCAACCAAGTTCACCTCTTAATCATTTATTTATTTATTTATTTATTTATTTAACTGCTTTTTAAAGATTGAGAACCTTCAGAATGGCAACTTTCATTGAATTCCCTGGGTGAGTTTTATTCACTCCTTTAAGAAAGAAGCTTTAATTATGAGTTTAAAGATTTGCAAAAAATAAAAATAAAAAATCAGAATATACAACAAAAGGGTGATCAGCGTGTTGATTTAGAAAGTTTTAAATGAATTAAGGGCTCAGAAGGATTTGAATTAAGACTTTGAATTTAATTTAAAAAATCTTTCCCATAGGAAATTGGCTATGTTTATATTTGTAAACAACTGATAAGAAATTATGACTTTGAAGGTTGGACACTAGAACGCACTAGAAGGAAATAAATGCATCAATTGGATACATTAAGAGAGATCTATGAACAGTGGGCTCAGAATGTAATTTCAAAGTTATCCACTTTTATTGATATGGATGATGTTATGGAAGGGGAACAAATTTTATTGGAAAAGACTGAAATTTATCTGAATGTGGATTTTAAAATGGCAGGCTATAAGAAGGAGATGAAAAAGATGAAATACTGGATATACAAAAAAATGAAATACTGGATATACAAATGAAATCAGCTGGAAAAGACATACAAATACTAAACCAGAAGAGCAAAATGGATAATCTTCTTAGTGGGTTACAAAAGGGACTTGTTAAAGTTCTTAATGATTTTGTGAAAAGAGATAAAGAGAATATGAAAAGAAAGCAGATGCTAAGACATTATCTGAAGAGATTAAATACTGTGGGGAGAAAAGGGAAATAATATAAAGTTGGTTTATTTGATCAAGGTTAAAAGAGATGGGTTGTTATCTCTGGTAATTTTTAATGGATTTTTGCTGACTAGAACTGGATGATGATATTTTACAGGTTTTGTTTATCTATAAGACATGAGATATGGGAAAGAAAGTTTGTCAGTCGCATTTTAAGTTTATTTATTTAAGATCAATATAGTGCTAAAATAACGTGGTTATTTCTGGTAATTTTTATTTGATTTTTAATTACCAGGTTTGAATGATAAAGATATAAAGTGAGATATGAATGTAAAAGGAAGTATTTTAAGTTGGTTTATTAGATTTAGTTTGTATAGATATGTTATTTCTGATAACCTTTAATGGACTTTTACTGATTAAGACGATGAGGCTTTAAAAATTTGTTTATAGAGAATGGGGTGGGATATGAGATGAAGAGACGGTTTGTGGCATTTTAAGATATGGTGATAAGTTGTTAAAGATATTTATACTTGCTGCAAATGAAGGGGAAGATTATTTTCTTTTTCTTTATTCTTAATTCATCTTTTTCTGCACTTTTTAATTTTTTTAATTTTCTTTTTTCATATTTTTATCTTGTAGTTTGTACTAGTTTTATCTGTATAATATAATCTTTAATAAAATTATTTTTTAAAAAAGGTTTGTCTGCTTCATAAGTCTTAATACTACCTTAAAATTAAAAGCTAGAAATCTAAGAATCAAATACAATTTTCAAGAAGCAGCATTTAATTTGTCTTCACAGAAAAGGAGAAGCATGTTTTTTCTAGCTATAGTAACTTTCATGCACCATTGAAATAATTCAGGGGGGAGTTATAAGATAAGGGAATCATTTATCAGTGACATTTTATTGGGCTGGACTTTTTTTTTCCCATGGATTTTCAGGGAGAACTGACTGCATACTTAAAGGTCTTGCTTGGCAGGACAGCCAAGATGGTGAGATTTAGCCTTTCTCATATGCCCCTAATTAAGAAGTGTAGTAGCTGTTTGTATATATAAGAAGCTTTTGTCTCTGGTCAGAACACACCCCTGTCTGGAAAGAATCACTGGGCTACTAGTTTAGTAGTGATCAGGTAATTAGTTGTTGTTGTTACTATTATTATTATTATTATTATTATTATTATTATTATTATTATTATTATAACAGAATTATAGCACTGATTAACCTTTTCCACACTGCCACCATCCATTTGTGCTTTGATCACAATTTTAGCGAAAAAGACTTTGGCCATTTGAACTTGGAATGATGTGTGTTTCAGTCTCAACATGGCTGGAAACTGCTAGATTTTGTGGGGTGGGGAATCTGTCCTAGACTTAATGTTATTATGATTCCCACTGATTTCTTAAATCATTTTGACTTACTATGTCTTCTGTACTATTATTGTTAAAGAGGAATTAAAGGAAATAATAAGTTCTGACAGTGATGATGATTTGAGCCAAACTGGGAATTGCAGAATTAAGGTAATAAGAACACTATGCTTAAGCCTCCCTAACCAATCTATATTGACGAGAATCACAGAAAGTATCAGAATGCTTCTAAGATGGGGCATTGTTGCTACTGCCCGGCTGAGGACAATTCACCCACATGTTGCATATCAGGACATCAGGACATTTCCACCAACTAATGCCATAAGTAATTCTCCTGGAGTGATAATTTGATAGATAGATAGATAGATAGATAGATAGATAGATAGATAGATAGATAGACAGACAGACAGACAGACAGACAGACAGACAGACAGACAGACAGACAACCACCTTTCAACAGGTCTCAAACCTATTGGTTCTCCTTGAGCATATTATTTTGAAAACTGGTTCTACAGGATACAACTCTGTAGCAGATTATATGTTAAACTATGTAAATGTGTTTAAATGTTAATTCAGCAATTTCCTTATCAATTTCCTTATCAATATAGATTTCCTTATCAGTAGAGAGATAACTCTTGATTTGCTTCCAAGCTTAGTGCAGAATTCTAATCTAAGTTTTGATTAAAAGATACCCCAAACCTCAATTCCTACGTATTTTCTAACACCTTGAGAATGATCCTGACCCTTTGCATCATTTACCAGTTCCAAAAAGCTATCACAGCAAATTTTGGTGTTTTAAGTTAAACAAAAGACAGAGTTTAGAAATTATTCTAGGAAACTTATCTTGTTGTTGTTGTTGTTTTAAATGGTTAAAATCACTTATTCAAATTGATTAAATTGTTAGTGTGGATAGTTTCTATTCATTCATTTCAGCATCCTGCTCATGAACTTCATTACATGGAAGCAATTTCAGTAGCACTCCCTTCCATGAATGTGCACTGACAAACACAATTCAAAATGTGTAAAATATCTTGCTATCTTGATGAACACAGCAAAAAAAATCATCTACAGATTAATTTTTCAATGGCATGATGAAAACTGTACTAGAAGGAAAACAATTAAGGCTATAGTCTATGTATGCTTGCTTGGAATTAAATCTCTTTGAATACATTGGGATTTAGTTTAAGTAAACAAGCATAGCACTGAGAAGTAAAGGTATTGTTTAATAAAATAAAATACAGACTAAATTAAAATCTTCCAGCAAGAAAATACTTTGTATCGCTTCTCTAAGAATCATTTAAACATTATTTTCTGAAGATTTTTAATTATAAAAGGCAGTTTATATACCAATATGTGAATCAATGTTGAACACTACATTAAGGCACGATCTCCAGCTTTGTACCAATAAGAGGTATTGGGTAACAATTCCTACTTTTCCAAGTTCTCAGATGCATTCAAGAATTTCAAAATTTGTAGTTCCAATGCAACTAGAACTTCTGAACTTCTGAACACTTATTTCAGATGCAGTCATTGCTTCCAGAGATTAAATTGATGTGAAGTATTATATAAAATATATTAAAATCATATATCAGCAAGTCTCTCACATTCCTTTTGAAGAATCAGTAGACGATAGAAATGAAAAACATTTTTCTGAATAAACATACTAAAATATAAAAACTGTTAAATTTGTATATAATTTTTATTGTTTAATATTTTAAAATATTGTTCTAGAAGTAATTACTGGCATTGGTATTATTATTTTAAGGCATTGCTCAAGTTTTATCTTTTATCCATGCTTGTAAATTAGGTATACATGGATAGAAAGTTAACACTGAAAAACACTAAAATATTAAAAAACCATCGTAAGACAGGATAGAAGAAGGTGGAGAGTGAAATTTTCATTCCATTGCAATTAATGTATAGTCTTTCATGAAAAAAATTCAATGTTTTTACATGAATAGCAAGACAGTTTGCTTTCTATACCAATGGATTTATAGTGTGTTCTATATTTTATGGATTGAATTAATTTCATCCATTTTAGAAAAGAAGCATAATCAAAATCATATGCAGGTGCAAGGTCATTTCACATCACTTGAAATAAACCAGTTTTGCATAATTAGCATCAGAATAGATTAGTTCAGGACTGAAGCACTCATGGATATCTACCAGTCATTTAAGTCATTACTTGTCATTTCATAAAATGTAAAGATTCCATTTTTTCCATTCTGTGCCAGGAGTTTTTAGAAAGGTAATAAGGCAGAAAGTTTGCATTATTTTCATTACCTCATTCAGTTCAAATCATTAAATATTGCATAGAATGACATGAATTTGATGGTCATTCAAATATTGATCACAAGATTAACCTCAAACTGTAATGTGAAATCAATGTGGTAATTAAAAGATACCATAAGCTAATTAAATACAGTAGTAGTTATATACAGATTTTGCTTAAGTAATTTCTTAAAGTATTTGTATAGCATAGCAAAGATGCTAAGTTGAAGCCAGTAAAATGGCACATTGATAAAAGTAGCAATTTTATAATAAGAGAAAAGGTACCTGTAGACACCACATTAGTGGCATGATTGGAGACGGGTAGACACTCTGCAGCACTATGATGCATTATCAGAGGCAGAGTGGGAGACGAGTCAGAAGTCAAAGGGATGAAGGTGTCAGCTGAAGAAAAGACTTGACAACTCATTCCCACCAAAAATAAACAAAAAAACAAGAAGAAAGAGTGAGAGCAAAAGAAAGGAATGAAGATATGCCTTGCCTTGCTTTTCTCCCAAGATTGTCCTATACAGTTCACAGCAGCTCAAATTCAGTTGGCCAACTTCATTACTTGCATATATACATAATCTGGGTTATGGTGCACAGTGAGTTGTGTGCAGGCATTTATACCACCAGGAAATCTTTTTATCCATGTTAATGGGCTTTGCTAGGCTGTGTTGCTTGATCACTCTGGAAACTCCTTCTTTCCCACCCAAAGGCAACAGACACCCAATTAAAGAGGGGAAACAAGAGACCGAGTTTTGCAGATTCTTCCAAGCTGGCTTTTGTGAAGGAACAATGTTGGATAAAGCTGTAGGAAGGAGTCATTTTACCCCAATTTCTGCTCTTGATGGGGAGGAAAGCTCCTCAGTGTTATCTATTCTTATGAACACCTGTCTAGGATTCCCCCATCCCCAGGAAATGCTGAGAAACTGAAATGTTATACATGATATTAAATCCCAGACTGTAGAGATCTGATTTATTCCTTTATAGTTGTGGAATATAAATATGAATAATTAAATTGAAAGAATATTATATATACTCTAGAGTCTGGGGGAAAAAAACAGGTATATAGGATATATAGTTTTATGTATCAGTTTTTATTATTTTAGGACACAAGAAAACATAAGATTTCCCAGTCCTGCCAGCTTGTACATCTCACTTTTTTAGAAATCACAAAATCCCAACTTCAGAAAATCTCAAAAGAAGCATGCTGAGAACAGGCCAGGGCAGAGAGGCAAGAAAGGGGGGAAATTTAGATCCAAATCCATCCAATCCTAATAATAACAATCTAATCCATGTTCCAAGATTAGACTATCTAGTTTGCTGGACTACATTTTATATTCCCCTTGCCAACAGGATATCCAGATGGTGGACTATTTAGACTACAGCACTAGAACTGGGGCAATTTGGATTTGGATTTGCTTTAGCCATGAAAGCTCAGTGGTGACTTTGGATCAATCACTCTTTCATCATAGCTACCTGATTGATGATGGGTGATTGGAATTATGTTTGTATATTTTTTCAATGCATGAGCTTTTAACTCTGGATGCTGCCTTTACTCTTTCTTATTTCACAGCCTTATACATCAAATATATTATTATCATCATTGTCATCATTGTCATCATCTCACAGTTCTTGTAGGGATAGAACTGGAGGAAAAAATATTGTGAATGAATCTAGCAACCAACCAAGCAATCAGAGGGATTTTGTTTTCTTTAAAATATCCCACCACAATGAATATTTCTCCTTTCTCCCTCCCTCTCTGGTGGCAAAAGTGTGGGATTTTTCATATCACTCTACTTCTGGAATGCTCCAACTGAAGAGCAGAATTGCTACATTAAGGTCTTACTGGAACAATATCAGCTGTTCTCTTGATCAATTTTTTGTGCACATTTAATTTCACTTAATAAAATTATGTCTTGGCCAGTGCATGACCACAGACCAAAAATTCTGCCAGTAAAAACAATGCTTGCAAACAAAGAGAGAAAATATATTTATATAACCCAAATGATGCAAGTAATATTGTTGATGGTTCCCACATCTTGTCAGCTTAATCTCCAATCATGGAGGAAGAGACATAAATAATCCTGTGCCCTCTAGAATACTGTTACAGAACCATAAGATTGCAGCACTCTTTCTCTCCTTCCACCTCTTTTTTTTTTTAAGGAAAAAAAAAAACCAGATTCATGCCAAAAAGGTCCTGTGAAATGTTGCAAACATAGCTCCTGATAAAGATGTACTTTTATGTTGGTTTCAAAGGGATGGTAAAGAGTCTAGGGAGTATGTATGCATGTATGCATGTATGTATGCATGTATGTATGTATGCATGTATGTATTGATTGACTGACTGACTGACTGACTGACTGACTGACTGACTGACTGATGTATAGTCTGCCTTTCATTAGGACTTCTGAGTGGCTGTCTTTGAGTTCTTTCTCTGTTTTTCCCACAACACCCTATGAGAAAGTTTAGTGAGTGACTGGCCAAAAGATACACAGTGTGCTTCCATAGCCATGGACTTGAACCTGAGTCTCCCCACTCCTAGACAAATCACTTAATCACTACTAATCCTCAGGATATTACCTCAAAAGCAGTTTAAGTAAAACCAATGCTCAAAAACTGTGTTTCGGAGTTTAACATTGTTTTATGACCACCAACAAGGAATTTTCCCATTTACTTAAATGGATATATCCATTTTGTATGGTTATTACAGGACTTTGTTTTGATAAACCATATTTAGAAGTATCAGATAATATTTACATTCTTTATGCATAAAATATTGTGTTGACAAATGTATTAAATATGAATTAAAAATACTGTCACCAATTAGAATATAATACTATCAACAGGATATACAACTGATTTTCCTTATATATACATGTTACCTACCTGTTCCCTTATGGGTCAGCTGAATTCAGCTGAGGATCAAATTATTCCAGAATAAATATTTACAGTTCTCTCATGGCTTTCTCCCATTTGGAATTCAAAGCAGTAGGTTTACATTCATGGATAATTTCTACTTTACAATAAATGTTAGTAAGTATAGAAAATATCTATTCCTTATTTCCAAGCCCCATATGGCAGTTACAGGAATGTCAAGAAAATGCTTATGAAGGGTGAAGGTAAAGGTGAAGTCATTCCAAATATGGACTAGTGGGTAACATAAATGGGAATTGTAGTCATACCACTCTGGTGCATGTATGATAAACTCCACCTATGTGGTTTTGGGAAAAGTTAAAAAATGTTATACCTACAAGAGAGAGAGAGAGAGAGGGAGGGAGGGAGGAGAGGGAGAGGGAGAGGGAGGGAGGGAGAGATGGAGAGATAATGTGCCATCATATCGTTGTCAACTCTTACCAATCATATAGACAAACCTTCAGATGAATGTATACACACACACTCACAAACACACACACACACACACACAGACGGACATTCTCTGCTGCATGTCTACATCTCTTCACCAAAAAAACACCCCACAGCATCAAGCTTCATGTTACCAAGAATATAAAATTAGGATTGTGCCAAACAGTCTACACAGATAAGATATCTGTTATGAATCTTCTCCTATGTGAACATAAATTCTATTAAATTTAAAGTTTCTTTTAAAGGTTTTAAACCTAATGAAAATCTTTAGATTCATACCTAAGTGTTATGAACAGAAGAGTTTCCTTCATTGCACAGAAGCTTACCCTACATTATAAGAGAATTGCAAGCAAAACTGATGGATATTTACCATAACTTCATTGTTCCAATCTGAAATCAGGATAAAAGACAATGTCAATATGGAATAATTATATCAGGTTAGAAATGGACAAAACCAGGTCTGAAGATGGAGCATCAGATAGGAATGCAAGCACATTATTATTGAGATGGGGGGATGTGGAGTTTGAGGGGGTAGAAGCAGAATTCAGAAAGCCTGTCATGGAGCCAAGGATTGTAGCCATCTAGAATACGAATAGTGTATTAAGATGAGAAGCCTTGATCAAGCAATAGTAAAACAGTAGTCATGAATCACCAGAATATATTCAAATTAGTCTAAAAGAAAAATCTGGTAGTTTATTTATATGCATGAAGAATACTGTAATTAACAGTTTACATTACTGGGACAAAAAGAATGATTTTCTTAACAAGCCATATCAAAGACGGGCACCTCCAGTGTAGCCAAGAAAACTGATAAAGAGATAGGATTAAGAGATTTTATGAGAAAACACTTTCCCATGGATGAAAGCAGCGTAGATAGCTTTTAAAACCATATAGAAGGCATATTAACTCCTGTTGCCAAGCCTTGGTTCATTTGGTTTGGACTATAACCAGGATAATTGCATTATAGTTGACAATAGTTTTAAAGCCTGATTGAGGTAAGCTGTGGCCTACTTGCTGAAGGATAAAAATGTAAGATAATTTGTTTTCCTGGGACACCTGCTTCACACAAGATTGCTGAAAAACAACCTTTGAATGTATATCACAGCTTCAATATCAGGTAGTCAAGAAAAGGATGTTCCCACGCTTCTCACAACACAAATGAATGGGAAACAAGTGTATTAGGTAAAATACTAGTTTCCATAAATTCTATGTTTGGAAATGGCATACACCATTTTTTTTTCAAATACATTGTATATAGATAACCAAGCAGCCCAACTAATTTTTAAAATTCAGATTATTAGGAACCTTGCTTATTCATTTACCTCATCTTGCAGAATCCCTAGAAAGCTAATAATATGTCTCTATAAAGTATGTGCCATACTTTTGTTTACTACAGGGGGAAAAATAGAATTACCCCTAATTAATATGAAACTTATTATGCTTTGAATACAAGTTTCAATGTTATTGACAATCCACAGTGGATACAATGCTAATATACTTACTTTTATGGAAAGTGATAATAAAAGTATCATTTGTGGCATCTCCCTATCTTGCAATTAATATGCTATCCGATTTGTTCTGAATAAGTGATGGAAAAGGAAACAACCCTCTCCCCCACAAATAAAGAGACCAAACTATGTTGAATAAAGAAAGAATAGCCATTTGAAAATGTTAACAAATAATATTCATGAACATTCAAAATAGATGTCTACTGAAAAATGAATGGTTTTCTTGAAGAAATGTACATATAAGTGCAAACACATATACAGCAGCTCAATTCATGTAATGTAGTAGATGTATCAGGTTTTATCAAATGATGTTCATCTGATGACCAAATGGCTTTGGCCAGATGAACAGACTCCTTCTCCAGAGGACTCTGTCCTCTGAAGTCTATTCCAAATTTGGAATACATGCAGATGGAGAAGAATGAGGAGAGAGAGCATCAAACAGTGAAACTCTGTTTTGAAAAACATGGATCCCTTACTATCCAAAGACCCTATTTGTTACTTTGTTTGTTTTGTATGTGTGTGTATCATTTATTTTTCAATGCTTATGGAAAAA